GGCTTAGGGGACGTTTTAATGTTAGGGTGATGCATGATTTTGAATCGTGGGAGTAGTTTCTGCGAGTTTTTGTAGTTTGAGATTTGTAATTGGAGTCTGTTTATAGAGAGATCGGGAATGCACGGTTCTGCGATTGCTAGTTGTGGAAAATATTAGGTTGAGATTGTTCTAAGTTGGGAATGAATGTTTGGAAAGTGGAAAATAATTTGGGAGCCTCGTACAGGTTGAAATTTTCATCTCTTCTTGTTTAAAACATTTTTAAAATAAATTTTGTAGAGCAGCAAGGTATTATTTTAGAATTATCGATGTACAGATTTTCAATCATGTCTTGTTTACGAAAGTTTAAGAATAAGAATTGTTACAGACTATTATTTAAAAAATATTAATTTAGAATTCTAATCGATATTAAGCTTCGCAACTCTTATTGTTTAGAAACATTTCAAAAATAAGAAATTTTATAATTCTAGGCTTCAAAAAATATTTATTTAGAATTCTCATTGGCCCTGAAAGTTCGTGTCCTCTGTACAAAAATTTAAAATAAGAATTTTTACAATTGAACATTTAAAAAATGTTTATCTAGAATCCTCATTCTCTCTAGAAGTCCAGAACCTTCTTTACAAAAATTTAAAATAACAACTTTTACAATTGAACATTTAAAAAATATTTATTTGGAATCCTCATTGGCCCTAAAATTTTCAGCCTTCTTTTAAAAAATTCCTAAATAAAAATTTTTACAGTCTACCCTTCAAAAAATATTAATTTAGAATTCTCATTAACCTCAAATATTGTCATCCTTTCTTCAGAAATATTTAGCCATAACAATTTTTACAGTCTACCCTTTAAAAAGTATTAATTTAGAAATCTCATTCACCATCCAAATTGTCATCTCTTCTTCAAAAAAATTTAAACACAAGAATTTTTACAGTCTACCCTTTAAAAGGTATTAATTTAGAAATCTCATTAACTCCAAAAATTGTCATCCCTTCTTCAAGAAAATTTAGCCACAAGAATTTTTACAGTTCACCCTTTAAACAGTATTAATTTATAAATCTCATTAATCCCAAAAATTGCCATCCCTTCTTTAAAAAAATTTAACCACAAGAATTTTTACAGTCTACCCTTTAAAAGGTATTAATTTAGAAATCTCATTAACCCCAAAAATTGTCATCCCTTCTCTAAAAATATTTAACTATAAAAATTTGTACAGTCTGCTCTTTAAAAAGTATTAATTTATAATTCCCATTGACCCCAAAAATTATCATCCCTTCTTCAAAGAATTTGATGACAAGAATATTTACAGTCCACCCTTTAAAAAGTATTAATTTAAAATTCTCATTGACCCCAAAAATTGCCATCTCTTTTCCAAAAAAATTTAACCATAAGAATTTTTACAATCTTCCCTTTAAAAATATATTAATTAACAACCCTTCTCCAAAATTTTCATTCTTCCTCGCTTTAAGAATCGAACATCGGTAATTCTCGCAACTTCGCAGAACCCAAGAAGAACGTAAATTATTCTGAAATAATCGCCGATTCTCAGAATGCCCATAGCATTCCGCAAAATAGAAAGTAGCCGTCATGAATAATTCCGTACTTTTCCTAAATCACTTACACGTCGGGCAAGCCGTTTGCGAAACGCTCAACAATCTCCCGATGACATTTTCACCGGTTGTCAGAGATGGAGAATGATTAACCGCGCGGCCGATGCTGGCTGCCTCGAGCGATTAGCGGCGCGATCCGCGCGGAATCCCGACGATTTTGCAATTCTTCAGAGCCTGCTGTCGCGCATCCTCGATCGCATCTAAACGAGGGATAATTAACACCGGCTGTTACGCGACCGTGTAATTTTCAATTACGACGCGATTGCTCGATCGAGGAAAGAGGATCGTCGATGAGCGCGGTAATTACCAGGTGTCCAAGAAGCTCGCGAGTCTACCATCCGCTGAACTATACCGCAAATTTATCATACTCTCTCGAACGACTTTGTAATTCCTGTAAAATATACTCGCGGAGAGGATCGTCCATTACTCGGGTATTTAAAAAATCGCGAATCGATCTTCAAACGAAACGCAAGAAATGTAATTGTGAGAAATGCGACTTGGAGGCCTCCTCTGAGTACCTTCGAATGATTCACGGTCGTCGATAAAAACGAATCACGTTACCTGCAGATACCGTGAACGGAAAAGGAGATAAGACACGAAAAATGGACGTTTGTTTTTCCTTTTTTTCCAGAATTAAGGAATATTCGGAGGAGAAAAATACTGGATATCGTTGAGGAGGATTTAGGGAGATTAATATGGAGAATATGGAGGGAGGGGGTGAGAAATATTATGGAAAGCGAGAAGGATGGTGGAAGATGAAAGGAGGAAAGCAGCGAGGGAAAATGCGTCGGAAAATTGCCGCGCGATTATTCGCGAGCCGTTTTGCCACGTCGAAGGTCGTCGAGTCGCGGAACGATGAGTAAAGCCAAGCGACGAGGCTGGGAAAAATTAGTAAAATACACCTGCATGGTCGTGCGTGCGGTTAATTGGCAGCCAAAGAAACGGAAACTTACCATGACACAGTAAGAAGGGACAAAAGAACGCGAGAGGGGAGGAAGAGAAACGTGCGTGCGTTTGCAAACATTTCAACGACGATTTTCTTTGTGTCTTTTTCACTCGATTTTTGCGGATTTTTCTAGGGGAAAATTCAGACGACGATCGAACGCTTTTTCTCTCTTTTCTAGTAATTTATGGGGATTTTTTTGTGGGAAGATTCGAACGATTTTCCTTCCTTTTTGATAAATTTTGGGAAAATTATTGTAATGCAAAGATCTAGACAACGGTCGAACGTTTTTCCTCTGTTTTCTAGTAAATTTTGGGGATTTTCTTGTAGGAAGATTCGAACGATTTTTTTTTCCTTTTTTTTGATAAATTTTTGGAGGATTCTGTAATGCAAAGATTCAGACGACGATCGAACGTTCTTCTTTTATTTTCTTGCATTCATTTTAGATTTTTCTTAATGCAGACTTTTCTTTCCTTTCTACTAAATTTTTTCTGATTTTTATAATGGAAATTTCTTTTTTTCTCTTTCATTAATTGATTTTTTGAGGACTTTTTTAATATCAGGATTCTGTCTAAGATCGAATTGTTTCTTCCTTTTTTTTTTTTTTTTTTTTGGATTTTGGATCTTTATTGGATATTTTGGGATTTCTTTGATAGGAAAATTCAGACGATAATTGGAAGCTTTGCGTGTGTTTTTGGTGAATTTGTTTCTAATATTTTTGTACTAAAATTCGGTTAACGATCGAAGGCTTCTCTTTGATTTTTACTTCGTTCGTTTGGATAATTTTCTTACGTGATTTATCTCGATGATTCAGGCTTGAAAATACGACACGTGATCTCGTGTGTTAGCGAGACTGGAATACCTTCGAATTTCGAATAACGAGTTTCCTTTGCCGCCGGTTTCATCGCGATGAATTTACCCGCGAATAATTAACCGGCTATTTTCAGAACTAGAAAGTCAGTCGAAGAATTTCATTGAATGGCGCTTTTAATGGGCTAGTAATTAACGAGTTAAATAAACCGAACGACGTGCCTGGTAAATCGCGGGTTTCACGGTCGGGGTATCGCGTGTAGGTGTGTAACGCACGTGGCTTTTTAAAATTAGAGATTTTCTAAATCGGAAAATTCACTTCATAATTTAAACACCCGCTGTTTATCCTTGTAAGAACCCCGTATCTCATTCTAAATTAAGTATTTTATCAAACAAATATTCCTGGCTTTTTTCGAAGTTCCTACATTCCTGAAGAATAAAAATGTACTAAACAAGAAAATAAGGATTTCATTCATCAGACATCCATTAGTTTCCAAAATTCCTACATCCTCCAGAAATAAACAGATACCCATCAAAAATGGAGTATTTTATAGTATCTATCGAACATCCCCTATTTCCTAAAATTCCCATGTTTTCAAAAATAAGGAAATATTAGAAAACAAAATTGGAATTTCATCCACCAAGTATCCCCTATTTCCCCAAATTTCTACATTCCCAAAAAATAAAGGAATATCACAAAAAAAAATCGGTATTTCATCCATCAAACAATCCCTATTTCCCAAAACTCCTACGTTCCCAAAAATAAGAAATTAAAAAAGAAAAATAATCGGTATTTCATCCACTAAGCACCTCCTACTTCCCAAAATTCCTACATCTCCCCAAAATAAAAGAATATACCCCCCTCCCCCCAAAAAATCGGTATTTCATACACTAAACATCCCTTATTTCCCAAAATTCGTACGTTCCCAAAAATAAGAAATTAAAAAAGAAAAACAATCGGTATTTCATCCACTAAGCACCTCCTACTTCCCAAAATCCCTACATCCCCCCAAAATAAAAAAATATACCAAAAGAAAAACACAATTGGTATTTCATCTACTAAACATCCCCTATCTCCCAAAATTCCTACGTTCCCAAAAATAACAAAATATTAAAAAAGGAAATCGGTATTTCATCCACCAAACATCCCCTACCTCCCAAAATTTCATCTCCCAAAAACAAAAGAATATCCCCTCACCCCCTGAAAAATCGATATTTCATCCACCAAACATCTCCATTTCCCAAAATTCCAGTATCCCACAAAAATTATAGAAAAATTCTTGAAATTTCCCGCGAAGAACTACAAGAATCGTAATTCTCCGTCACCCCTCAGTCACTTTGTGCTCGATTAATTAATTAATTCGAATAATTCGCGAAATTAGTCGCGGCGAGGACCGGAGGTATTCCAGCGCTCGATAATCCAACCCCTAACACCGACTCGCGGGTTCTCGAACCTCGAACAATGGTAAATTCCTTGGGATAGATCATGATAGAGGCTTCGGGGCAAAACTAATGGGCCCGGGCCGCGGGAAGCGTTGGGCCTAGCGAACGATCGTCGTCGTCGTTGACGTTTCTCTTTTTCATTTTCAATTTCTCTCTCTTTTTCTCTTTGTTTGGCAGTACAGTCCTGGCAGTACACCACTTACAGGGATGGAGGCGGGCTTGTTGACCACGACGACGTCCTCGTCCATGTGTATCACCGTGATCGGCTCCGAGGTGACAGGCACCTCGTGTCTGCAACACACCAATCGCAACCAGCTTAACGTGGCTTTGTTTTTCTTGCGTGTACTCTCATTCACTCTCTCTCTCTCTCTTTCTCTCTCCACGCACACACACGAACTTCGTTTATCCGTGAGTTTCGTGTGATTCGACTGGGCCTTTTGCTGGGTGACAGGTGGTGTTTCGGTGTTGGCAGCGTGTGTTCTCTATCTTCTGCATCGTGTAATTCGTTTGAAATAACAGGTGGTGTTTCGGTGTTGGCAGCGTGTGTTCTCTATCTTCTGCATCGTGTAATTCGTTTGACTCGAATAGTATATAATCACGGAAGCGATTATGTTTGTGTTTTTAAGGAAGATTTCGTGTGTTTTCACGCGACTCGTTGGGAATTGGCGCTATCGGGATAAACGAAGTTCGTAGACGTAGAAATGGCGATAGAAAGTGCACGGTGACGATCCACGGGATAAGGGAAGTTTGTTCGAACGTGTCGTTTCCAGTCAATAAAGCGTTCAGCGTGCATGGTCCTCTCACGAACAGTTAAACCCGCGACACGTGCTCATGCGACTTCGAGACGGGGTATCTGTGCGTGACTTACGTCTAACATCCTACTGGTAAAATCGTATTTAAATAGAAGCACGATAAGAAACGTTTCTTTCACGAGGTATCACCGTTCCAGATGTTCAACCTGTATAACATCACTCAAAGAGACAGGATACAAAATGTCTTTTACGAAATACTTTACCTTCTCTAGCGTCCGCCATTTTCTTCCCTGCGACGCGTTTCTATTCTACTTTCGACGCTCAAAGTTAGGCGTCCCTTTCTTTTATGGCTGTCTTAAATTATAGTACATACCAGGTTATAGCGACATAGCGATCGTGTTTCTCTCCGGTCTTCTAACAGACCGAGAAAATGCGAGTACCTGGCGGAATACGCGTGCGTCGAAATAAAAATTTCACCTTGCTTTAGAGTCCCTCTTCAGTTTCCAATTTGTTCGAATTGCGATTAACCCTCGTCTCTGTATTTCAAAGGATATATCTTGGTACCTCGAGCAAATTGCTGCCAATATTTATTACAGAAAAACTTTGAATTCTGTTATCATTTATTTACACTGTTTCCAAATTTGTTTAAATAATAATCGATATTGGTCTCTGTATCTTGAAAGGGCATATATCTCGGTACCTCGGGCAAATTGCTGTCAAGATTTATCGGAGAAAAATTTCGAATTCTGTCATCATTTATTTACATTGTTTCTAAATTTGTTTAAATAATAATCGATCTTGGTCTTTATATCCTGAAAGGGGATATACCTTGGTACTTCGATTAAATTACTGTCAAGATTTATTACAGAAAAATTTCGAATTCTGTCATCGTTTGTTTACATTGTTCCTAAATTTGTTTAAATAATAATCGATCTTCGTCACTGTATCTCAAACAGGATATATTTCGGTACCTCGAGCAAATTGCTGCCAATATTTATTACAGAAAAACTTCGAATTCTGTTATCATTTATTTACACTGTTTTCAAATTTGTTTAAATAATAATCGATATTGGTCTCTGTATCTTGAAGGGGCATATATCTCGGTACCTCGGGCAAATTGCTGTCACGATTTATCGGAGAAAAATTTCGAATTCTGTCATCGTTTCTTTAAATAATAAATTTGTTTAAATAATAATCGATCTTCGTCTCTATATCTCAAACAGGATACATCTCGGTACCTCGATCAAATTGCTGTCAAGATTTATTACAGAAAAATTTCGAATTCTGTCATCGTTTCTTTAAATAATAAATTTGTTTAAATAATAATCGATCTTCGTCTCTATATCTCAAACAGGATACATCTCGGTACCTCGATCAAATTGCTGTCAAGATTTATTACAGAAAAATTTCGAATTCTGTCATCATTTGTTTACACTGTTTCTAAATTTGTTTAAACAGTCATTAATACCTTTTATTACATTCTGAAACAGAATATGCAACATCTACGAGGATTCCTAAAATTCATTAATCGAAGTCGCTCCATCGTATCTCACCCCAATTCAGCGCAGACCCTACCCAAGACTTAATAAATACAAATTTCATTTTATCTCTCATTTCTCAATCCCTTAAAACTGTAATTAATTTTTCTTACCGCACCCCAGAACGGAATCCAATACACCCAAACCTAACCTAAACCCTCCCAAGACTTAATAAATACAAATTTCATTTTATTTTATCTTTCCCAATTTTTTAAAACAGTCTCTAATTTTTCACACCGAATCCCAGAGGAAACAGACAATATACTCAAACCTAATCAATCATTATCGCTTCGTTCCATTTGTAAAATCCTTTGAAACCTCGTCCTGTTAACACTAGATTTACGGAACCCGTCAATTTGACGGAAGGGTTGCACCAATTATACGATGGTAACAAATTTAGTTAACTTATACTAAGACTGTTAATATAATATACAATTGTTTTTAAATTAAACTAATCATCAAAAAAAAAAAAAGGCACGTGGTTTGCTTTACCTGTCAATTTAACAGGTGTCCTTAGAAACAGGTATACAGATAGCGTCCGTAAACCTAGTGTTAATTCATTCACCCCAAGATATTCTGACCTAGGGAAAAACCGTAAAAAATCCCTAGAAATTGAATTTCAGCCAGACGACTCGACCGATCTAGCTTCCTCCATCGTTCTCTCGCTGAAGAGGCATCGAGAGCGGAGAGACAGGTTCCCGTAGACGCGTGGCGAAGAGCCTTTATGCCTTTGTCGTTAAGCTAAACAGGTTAATGGCGACGCGCGAAGAAAAGCGGACGTGGAACGGGGACAAAGAGCGCGACGCCTCGAAGGAACCGCGTCGGAGGGTAGACAGCGACGACAGGTGGCCGGTTCTTCCCCGCGTGTACGCTCCTGCACGACTCCAATTACACGTTCCATCTGCCTAATGCATTCCGTGAAACTACAGCAGTCGCGTGCGCCGGCGTTCTTTCCGCTCGCGCGGACAATAAGCAAGCAGCCTCGACTCTCCGCGGAGAACGCCAACCTTCTACTCCTGCCACCCCACGTCTCACTAACTCACCCTCTCGCCACGCTTTCTCTCCGTTTCTCTCTCTCTTCACCCTTCTCGAAGTACGGATCTCTATCAGGTCTTCCTTTCTTCGTCCTTTTCTTACCACGGATTTTTCTGTTCGCCCTTTTCTCTGTACCTCTCACTTGCCACCCTTATCAAGGATTTCTCTATTCGTCCTTTTCTCTGTATCTTTTGCTCGCCACCCTATCATGGTTTTCTCTATTCGTCCTTTTCTCTACGTCTTTCGTATTCTATCCTTATTTTACTTTTCTCTATATTTCTTTATATTTCTCTATATTTCTATTACCATGGGTTTCTCTCTTCATCCTTTTCTCTGTAGCTCTTGCTCCCAACCCTTAACATTAGAACTACCGATCTTCAATGGGTACGTAACTATAACGTGCACAGATTATAGTAATTTCAGCGCTACGATGAATACGAGTGAATATATTGATTACAGTTCTTTCTTAACACTTAGCCGACCGATCGGGGAGATCCCCCCATTTTAACACGTTGACTGCCACGCGCATTTTACATGGTTTGCCCATGGCGCCAACACGAATACTTTATTATGCGATGCATATTATGTTGAAATATTATTTACAACAGATAAGGTGAGTTGTGTAATCGAGTTTAATGTATTTTTCGTGGCGGG